ACTGTAGAACTCCTTTGGGGCTCCAGAACTCTGTCTCTCCACACAGACACACATGCAGACAGACCCCTTCTCTTCTCTCCCTCCCCCCCCCCCCCCCCAGCTAATTTTAAAATAACAGATCTAGCCGTATAGTGTCCTTATGCTCCTGGAAACTTTTTCAGATGCAATATTTTATATCTTAATTTTAAATAATTAAAACCCCCATCTTTTACCAAAGCAATTACATTTAAAGTAGTGTAGTTTTTGCAAAGTGTTCAGGTAGTGAAAGGCATTCTGCTTCTTTCAGTATTTATTTCTCAGTTGGTTGCTGTCAGTTGCTGCCCCAAGGAACTTAGTGTAATTGGTGAAATGGAGCAGATGGGACACATTGAGAAGGATTGATTAACTTTTGTTTCCATATACATAATTTCACTTGTCAGTGTAGTTTTACAAGGTTTAGACTTCCTGAGAAGCCAGACTTTCTCTGCTGGAGGTTGGTGATATCACTGCAAATGTCTTCAACAGCTTGGCCCAATCCCTGTTCCTTCGCCTACTCCACAGCTCCTTAATTGTGCAGAATATAGTTGTTCCTGCTAAGCTCTTGATAGAGAAGATGGCTTAAATAGACTGACCTTGTTGACTACATAGGAAAATCTTTTATTTCAGAATAATTTCTCTGCTCATGATGGTGAATGAATAAATAGAATGTAGAGATTTTATATCTGAGCCAGGTTCTCTCTTTAACTGAAGTATTTATTGAACACACATTATCAAAATAGTTGTAGCATGGGGAATGGAGGGGAGGGTATGATTGAGTCGGGGGCATGAGAGTATTTGAGCTAAGGTTTAACACATTTTTTTTCATCAGATTGAAACTCCCATGATGAATATTATTCCAGGCGGAGCTGTGGCTAAACCTTTCATTACACATCACAATGAACTGGACATGAAGTTGTACATGAGAATTGCGCCAGAACTCTATCACAAGGTGAGAGGTGATTCCCCCAGTGGGCTAAGCATCACACTTTTCTGACTTTATCTGCCTTCCCAAAATGTGAAGCATAAGATTGAAGTAACGATTAGACTAAAGGCCAGCAGATTTAATTGGGTTGATAAAAGCAACCTTGCTGAGGTGGAGCATGGCTAAAGAGGTGAGCAGGAAAGAGGCCCACATTGATTGGAGAATAGTGGATGTCAGGATAATTGAACCAGAGTTCATTAGGTTTGTCTAGTGCTCCTTTTACCTCTGTTTTTTGCTGATAAGCTTGGGAATGTAGATTTGTGCAATTTTGTGCTAGTCAGAACTTTCTTGACTTCATTTCAGAAGGCTAATGTGACCAGCTGGATTTCTTTTGTTTAGATGTTGGTGGTTGGAGGCATGGACAGGGTATACGAAATTGGGCGCCAGTTCCGGAATGAAGGAATTGATTTGACTCATAATCCTGAATTCACAACCTGTGAGTTTTACATGGCTTATGCAGACTATCATGACCTGATGGAGATCACAGAAAAGCTGCTTTCAGGTGACCTAACTAATATTAATTAAAGGAGAATAAGAATCAGTGTGAAGATAGCATGTGATACAGCATGGCATTGATTTTAAGTGCAGTTTTATCTTGTAGGAATGGTGAAGCACATTACTGGAAGTTACAAGGTCACTTATCACCCAGATGGTCCTGATGGCCATGCCTGTGAGATAGATTTCACCCCACCCTTCCGGAAAATCAGCATGGTGTGTGAACTGGAGAGAATCCTGGGAGTGAAACTTCCAGCAACGGATCACTTTGAGACTGAAGGTCAGATGAGGAGTCTGTGTGCTTTCACCTCCCCCTCGCTATTTTGGGGCAAAGACCTCTAACCCCCAGTCCATGTTGATTTATAAGCTGCCTTTAATACTGTTTATTACAAGTTGTGTTCTAATCAGATCTGCATGTAAGCTGAGTAGATGGGGTTGCCTGACTGTGGTTTTGTTTGATTTAACTACAAGATTTCAGAGTGTAGTCTTGATGCCCTGCAGGTTCTTGTAAGGGTCAGCAAGGTTCTGCTTGATTGCCTTTTAAGACTTCATTGTGTATACATGACACTGTTGGGAGAGTTAGTGAGGAGGCCTGGCTTGAAGTGTTTTCACTGCATTGACACCCAGTGTTGTATCTCTGTTTCGTCTGTCTCTTAGGGAGCAGAGAAGACCCTCTGTATCTGGTAGTTATTAGGGTGTGACGGGTTGAATCACAGAAACCCCCTTGGGGCTGCCAACTGATGTGCCAAGACTACTTCTGCCCCTGCTTTCCTGCCCTGGCAGCTTGGGACTTCAGTGCCCTGCCTGGTTTGAAGCCAGACCCGCTAGCCTGCTGCAAACCCAGAGCCAGGTCTGAACCACGTCCCCTAACAGCTGTAGGCTTAAACCGAAAGCAGCTTAAGAAGTGTTCCTGTCTTTAACACTCAGATGCCCAACTCCCAATGGGGTCGAAACCCCAAATAAATCCATTTTACCTTGTATAGAGCTTATACAGGGTAAACTCATAAATTGTTCGCCCTCTATAACACTGATAGAGAGAGATGCACAGCTGTTTTGCCCCTCCAGGTATTAATACATTCTCTGGGTTAATTTAATAAGTAAAAAAGTGATTTTATTAAATACAGAAAGTAGGATTTAAGTGGTTCCAAGTAGTAACAGACAGAACAAAGTAAATTACTAAGTAAAATAAAATAAAATACGCAAGTCTATGTCTAATAGAGTAAGAAAACTGAATACAGATAAAACCTCACCCTCAGAGGAATTCCAATAAACTTCCTTTTACAGACTAGTCTCCTTCTATTCTGGGTCCAGCAATCACTCACACCCCCTGTAGTTACTGTCCTTTGTTCCAGTTTCTTTCAGGTATCCTTGGGGGTGAAGACAAAATGGAGGGGTCTCCCCGGGGTTTAAATAGACTTTCTCTTGTGGGTGGAGACCCCCTCCTCTCTCTCTCATTGTCCTTTGAGTGTTTCTTGATGGGGCACTTAATTTGCACATTCCTTTCTCAAGAAGCTGACCAAATGCTTTACTAAGGCTACTTAGAAATCAAGCAAGTACACAGCCAATATTCATAACTTCGAATACAAAAATGATACATGCATATAAATAGGATGAATAGATTCAGTGCATCATAACCTTTACAGAGATGTTACATGGCATATGTAGCATAAAACATATTCCAGTTATGTCATATATACATTCATAAGCATATCTCCATAAAGCCTTATGGGGTGCACCGTCACATAAGGCATGGAGTGCAAATAGGTTGGGGTAGCAACTGGAAGATTATATGGGGCCCTGTGGCTGAAAATGCATCTGCCATTTGTCCCTTGAGTTGACAGTTGTGGAGAGCTGCTTTTAGGTGATTACATAGCAGCAATGATTTGGTTGGGTAGTTATGATCTTTTTTCCTCAGATGTGAGCCTTGCTACCTCTAGACAAGGCTATAATGCACTATACCGCAGTCTACACCAGTGGCTTTCAAACTTTTTTTCCAGTGACCCAGTTGAAGAAAATTGTTGATGCCCACGACGTAACGGAGCTGGGGCAGAGGGTTGGGGTGAGGGCTGCTGGATGGAGCTGGGAATGAGGGGTTCAGGGTGTGGGAGGAGGTCAGAGCTCTGGGCTGGTGATGACGGGTTTGGGGTGCAGGGGAGGGCTCAGGGCTAGGGTGCAGGAGGGGGCCATGGTTCTGGGGTGGGGCCAGGGATGAGAGGTTTGGGGTGGGCTCAGGGCTAGGGGTGGGGCAGGGGATTGGGGAACGGACTTACCTTGGGCAGCTCCTGGTCAGCGGTGCAGTGGAGGTGCTAAGGCAGGCTTCCTTATGTTCTTATGTTATATGTTCTTATGTTCCTGCCTGTCCTGGCACTGCGGACTGCGCTGTGCCCTGGAAGCGGCCAGCAGCAAGTCCACTTCCTAACCGGAGGTGCGCAAGTGGCACTGCATGGCTCTTCCACCTGCCCCTGCGCGCCGGTGCTCAGTGTGGGGGAAGCACGTGGAGCGCCACCCTTCTCTCCCCCCCCCCCACCCCCGGCCTAGGACCTGCTGCTGGCCGCTTCCAGGGCGCAGCACGGTATCAGAACAGGTAGGAACTAGCCTGCCTTAGCCAGGCAGCACCGCCAACGGGAATTCTAACAGTCCAGTCGGCAGTGCTGAGCAGAGCTGGCGCAACCCAGTGCCTTGCATTCCGCTACCCAGTACCGGGTCGCGACCCGCAGTTTGAAAACCACTGGTCTACACCTTAAATATATCTGAAAACTAAAGCTAGTGAACAATTTGGTAGTTCTCTTAAGTGGAAAATCTCATCATGATCATGTGACATTAGGATCTGCATGGGTTTTCTGGCTTTTTCAGCTGCTTGATTTCGTTTTGTTAGCCCTAAAATAGCTCTGGGACCTGCCTACTTGAGAGACTGCCCCTCTCTTTGTGTGATACTGATGCTACTGCAATCCGCAGAAGTGCTTAACATAGGAGCCCCTTGATTTATGAGAGTGAAGGCTGCTGGCAGATACGCTCTTTGAGGACCTGTCAGCTTTGGAGTATCCTCCCACTGCCTCCTTGATCTGAAATGGTCCAAATCTGTTGACCATTAGGACATTCTTCAAAACTCCTCAGTTTGAGCAGGTATTTGGGAGAAATGATAGATCAGTGGTCCCCAACGCGGTACCTGTGGGCGCCATAGTGCCCGCCGGGGCATTTATGTGCACCCTTCTACTGACAAGGGAGCGCTTCCGCTGGACAACCCGCCGTCGAGGAGTGCGGCCGCCGGACAACCAGCCACCAAAATGCTGCCGAGAAGTGGCAACGCCAAGAAGCGTTGCCATCGAAATGCCGCTGCTACTCAGCGGCATTTCGGCGGCGACGCTTCTCAATGACGCTGGTTCTTGGCGGCATTTCGGCAGCTGGTCGTCTGGCGCCCGCCACACTCTTCTGGGAACGTGAATATGCTATTGCAACAGAAAGGTTGGGGACCACTGTAATAGATCATCTTTGTAGATAGATATATATTTTTTTTTTATGCCGAGACTGGCTGTTTGTCCACAGTGGCGCTCTCTGTGTGGGATTGTGTTTATAACTGTTGTCAGAGCATCTAGAGTCTGGGATTAGGAATCTTATGTTTGAGTTTAAATTGGCAGCAATTAATACTGCCCTTCGTGCTCTGTGGAAGGCTGAAACTGTATTCCTTAGCTGGTATGTCTCACAGTGTATTATGACAGAAAATACTGAAAGTCATTCCAGTCCTTCTCCATTGTGTCTGGATCATTCTGCAGGTGGGAAGGAGGGGGAGAAGAACTGACTATATGAACAGCTTCTCTAATATTTTGCATTATGAAACAGAAACTCGCAAGTTCTTTGATGCTATTTGTGTGGAGAGAGGTGTTGAGTGTCCACCTCCCAGGACCACGGCCAGGCTTCTTGATAAGGTAAGTGGAGGTGGCTTTTTCATAATCCTGAGATCTGGCCCTCAGTCCTCCTCCAGCACACACACAGGTAGGGACACACCCAGCTGCAGAAAGACAGACACTGAGATCAGCTCTGCATGGGAAAGTTCAGCTAAGGAACTGCCCAGCACTCAAGTGCACACCCCCTCTGGAGTGTAAACCCAAAATTGTATCCTCTTGTGCTGCACAGAGAACTGTACAGCATAAGCTCATAAAATTCGCTCCCTCCCTCAATGTGGAGGAAGATATGCGCAGCTTTTTGCCCTCCAGTTATGAATTCCACAAACTGGTTTTAGAGAAAACAAAGACAAGTTTATTAACTACAAAAGATAGATTTTAAATGATAAGCATTAGCAAAGAGATCAAAGCAGATTACTGAGCAAATAAAACACACGCAAACTAAGTTTAATATACTAAAGAAACTGGTTACAAGTAGTAATTTCTCACCCTAAATGTTGTTTTATGGCAGATTGCAGAGGTTCTTGAAGACAAGCTGCTCTTGCTTGCAGCTTAAAACTCCAGGTATTTCTTTCACAGGCCAGACATCTTCCCAGCCTGGGTTCAGCTCTTCTCCCCCGCTTTCTCTTTGTTTCTTAGGCCTTGTCTACACTGGCAAGTTACTGCGCGGTAAAGCCACTTTCTGTGCTGTAACTCCCGAGGTGTACACACTGACAAACAACTTTGTGCACAGAAACTCCTCAGTTGCAGCGTTGCAAAAAAACCACTTAGCCGAGAGTAATAAGCCTTAAAACGCAGAGGCTCCAGCATTGTATTGGCAGAGTAAACATATTGCAGCGCAGAAAGCAATCAGTTGGCCTCCGGAAGTGTCCCATAATCCCTCAAGTGGCCGCTCTGGTCATTGTTTTGAACTCGGCTACCCTGGAGACATGTGCCCCTCCCCTTTCAAAGCTCCATTTCTGACAGCCCTTGCATGCTGTGCTGATCTGCTCCAGGACACAAAGCAAACCATTAATGCGTAATGCTTGTGCTGTGCAGAGAGCTGGGGAGGGAGGCGGGGGCTGATAGTCAGGGTTTCCCCCTCCCCCTGCCTAGGACTGGTTGGTCCTGCTGCTGTCTGAATTCACAAGACAGCATGCTGACACACTCTGTCCCCCAAAACACACGGTCTCTCTCCTCCCCCACCATACACACACACACACTCTGCCTCCCCCGCGTGCACACTTCAGTTGACAAGCAGCTGGCAATGTAGTAGGATGCCCATGGAACAGTGGGATTGGGAAATCTGCATCATGTGACGCTGTGCCTGCCCCATGAGGCACTGCAAACCCTTCCCAAAGCACCCTGCGGCCAGTTACACAGTGGGATAGCTACCACAGTGCACTGCTCTCTTTGCCGTTGCAAGAGCTGATAATGTGGATACGCTCCACCGTCACGAGCACAGTGTGGACACGCAACAGTGGTTTAATTCCAGCGCTTTAATAAAAGTGGTATAACTTGTGCAGAAACTTGCCAGTGTAGACATACCCTTAGATATTTCCAACAGTCACCTTGGGCAGGGATTCAGTGAAGAAAGAACACAGATTAAGTCACTCCTTGGCCTTAAATAAGTTTTACATATGGCGGAAACCCTTTTTTCCCCAGTGTGGTTATCTCCCCCCACCCCCAGTGGAAAAATACTGGTATTCTATTAGGGAGTCCAGTACCAGGTGATGTGATCACATGACTCTGCAGTGTCAAAGCAGCCATGAGTCAGAGGTTGTTTCTGGCATCCCAGGAAAGCTTCTAAGGAAGGTGGGAGATTAGCATCTTCAAAGACCTATTGTTTTTTCTAATGGCCTATCCAGACTGATTGCATTCTCCAGGTGTAAACCCAGTTGTAATTGATAGTCAATATTTCTAACTTCTATACAGAAATAAATATGCATGCAAATAGGATAATCATACTTAGCTAATCATAACCTTTCCAATGATATCTCACAAGACCCATCTTGCATAAAACACATCTTAGTTATGCCATATTCATATCATAACAATATCTCTATGAAGAATATGGGGTATAGCGTCACAGACCTGTTTTCCATGAATTTATCTAATTCTTTTTTTTTAACTTAGTTATGCTTTTGGTGATCACCATGTCCCATGGCAATATGTTAATTGTGTGGGGAAAAAGTACTTCCTCTTGTTTAGACTAAACCTACTGCCTATTAATTTCATTGGGGGACCACTGTTTTTTGTATTGTGGGAATGGGTAAGTAACACTTCTCTCTCCATTTTTTTCCATACCATTGGTTATATTATAGACCTTTTTCATATGCCCCATTAATTGTTTATCTTCTTAGCTGAACAGCACTAATCTTTTTAATCTCTCCTCATATGGAAGCCATTCCATGCCCTTGATAATCTTTGTTGCCCTTTTGTGAATCTTTCCCAGTTCCAGTATATCCTTTCTGAGATAGGTGACTAGAACTGCATGGTGGGTACACCATGGATTTATATAGTAGCATTACAATATTTGCTGTCCCTTTCCTAATGGTACTTAACATTCTGTTAGCATTTTGACTGTTGCCATGCATTGAGCTGAAGTTTTCAAAGTGAGTCCAAGATCTTTTTCTTGAGTGGGAACAGCTAATGTAGAACCCATCATTATATATGGGTACTTATTGGAATTATTTTTTCCAATGTGCATTACTTTCAGTTTATCAGTGTGGAATTTCATCTACCATTTTGTCACCCAGTCTTGTGAGATTCCCCTGAAATTTTTTGTATCATCTGCAAACATTGCTACTTCACTGTTCACTCCCTTTTCCAAATCGTTAATGAATCGGTTGAACAGCACAGGTCCCAGGCCAGATCCTTGGGAGACCCTACTATTTACCTCTTTCCACTGTGAAAACTGGCCATTTCTTCCTACCTTTTGGTTTCTATCTTTTAACCAGTTACTGATCCATGAAAGGACTTTCACTGTTATTCTATGACTAGTTTCCTTAAGAGACTTTGGTGAGGGACCTTGTCAAAGACTTTCTGAAAATCCAAGTACACTATATCGATTGGATCACCCTTGTCCACATGCTTGCTGATTCCCTCAAAGAATTCTAATAGATTGGTTAGGCGTAATTTCCCTTTACAAGAGCTGTATTGACTCGTGTTTTTCTGTGTGCCTGATAATTCTGTTCTTTAGTATAGTTTCTACCTGTTTGCCCTGTACTGGAGGTAGGCTTACTGGCTTGTGTTTGCCAGAATCACCTCTGGAACCCTTTTTAAAAATCTGCATTATGTTAACTATTTTCCAATGATCTGGTACAGAGGCTTCTTTCAGTGGTAGGTTACATATGGAGAGTAGGATCTGGCCCTCTGAAAGGACCTCAGTTCAGATTCCATAGGGGTTCAAGGTGAAGAAAGGAAATGGCTTGCAGTCTTGCTTGCCTTTACCAGTCCAGAGGTCAGAGGTGCTGGCTTTGTGGAGGTGGGGGGACTGCAGCATCTATAGAATGATTGTGTAGCAGAGATGTACATGAGACTTTCAGTGAATCAGGATGTTTGGCTACATCTAGGAAAACACACTGGAATTTAATTCAGCCCTTTTCCTGTTGCCAAAGAGAATTCAATAATACCCCAGAGATGTTATTCTGTGTCTGTTTATAACAGAACACGTTGTACTGGTGGCAGAGTGATGCAGGTCTGTAGAGGATTCTGGATTGATACCTGGCCTCTTAGTTCCTGGGCTAGTAGGATAAGAGAGAGCTATTTTAGTACAGTGGATGGTCCCAGGTAGGAAGAAATATCTTATAACAGGGATGGCCAAATGGTGGCTTGCAGGCCGCATGTAGCTTACAGTTAAAGTGCGGCTCACCCCAGCCCCCCTCTCGTTCTCCACCTATGAGACTGGGGGGGAGGGGGTTTGGGGCTTCAGACCCACAGGGTACATGCACCAGCCGGGGCTCGGGGCTTTAGTAAGAGCAGGGATGAAGCCCCGGCAGGCGCCTCCCACAGGACTGAAGCCCCGAGCCCTGCCAGGTGCGGCCTGGCTCTCAAACTTCTGAAGACTGTCATATGTGGCTTGGAGAGTCAGTAAGTTTGGCCACCCCTGCCTTATAACCTTGCAGTGACACTTCCTCCCAGTCAGTTAGAAGCAGTGTAGATCAACTCTGAAAGAAATAGGGGATCAAATTTTATTGTGGAGGACCCCTCCCTCCCTCCACACATTCTGCATGAGTGGAGAGAAGAGTGTAATTAGATTCACATGTCCCTCCAAAATGTAAGGTAAATGTATAATACACATACTGGCCCTTTGCTTTGTTTTCCTCTTTTCTGCCCCTTCTCACCCCAACTATTGCCTGATTGTTTTTTTTTCTGGGTGCTTTGTCTAGTGGCTTGTGCCACAGATGTCAAAACTGGAATTAAACTCCAATACCACCCTGAGACACTGTAGGTAATAGCGGTAGGTTTATGTTCTGACACTGGAGTTCTTGTTAAACTGGATGAAGTTTAGACAATAATCTTGTGTTTTATACAGTCCTGGGCTAGATCAGATTTTAACCTCTCCAAGCAGGATGCTTGGCCTGTCTTGCAGGGACTCATCGCTGTCAATGAAGACGTTGCCCTAAGTAGGCTTTTGAAGTAGTGAGTCATCTGTCTTATGGCACCTCCTTCATTATGAGATGTTCTAACATGAAAGTTCGGTCCTCCTGTTTTTCAGCTTGTTGGTGAGTTTCTGGAAGTCACCTGTATCAATCCCACATTCATCTGTGATCATCCCCAAATCATGAGCCCTTTGGCCAAATGGTAAGCGTATGAGATTTTATATAAAGTCATGAAATCATGACAACCTTTTTTATCCCCATGAGAAAAATTGTCTGTGAAAAGGAAAGCTTGACTTAGCAAAGCTTTTGATACGGTCTCCCACAGTATTCTTGCTGCCAAGTTAAAGAAGTATGGGCTGGATGAATGGACTGTAAGGTGGATAGAAAGCTGGCTAGATCGTCGGGTAGTGATCAATGGCTCCATGTCTAGTTGGCAGCCGGTTTCAAGTGGAGTGCCCCAAGGGTCGGTCCTGGGGCCGGTTTTGTTTAATATCTTTATTAATGATCTGGAGGATGGTGTGGACTGCACTCTCAGCAAGTTTGCAGATGACACTAAACTAGGGGGCGTGGTAGATACACTAGAGGGTAGGGATCGGATACAGAGGGACCTAGACAAATTAGAGGATTGGGCCAAAAAAAACCTGATGAGGTTCAACAAGGACAAGTGCAGAGTCCTGCACTTAGGACGGAAGAATCCCATGCACTGCTACAGACTAGGGACCGAATGGCTAGGTAGCAGTTCTGCAGAAAAGGCCTAGGGGTCACGAGTGGACGAGAAGCTGGATATGAGTC